TGAAACTGAGAGTTTTCTGAGAAAAGATAAATGATCAGTTTGGCACCGGGAAAACTAGAAAAACCTAGCAGACCAATAACCGTGGGAGCAACTAGGTTTTCAGAGAACTCCACTCCGAGGATGCCCAGGCATTGAGAGGCTTTAATCTCCACCGGAGCTTCAAGGAAGAGACAGTTCCAGGGCTGCTTAAACTGTACTGACTGCACCAAATCACAGATAAGGGAAGGCCCCGAAGTCTTCTACGGAGCCAGCACAACACGGACAAAGATAGCACGCAGAAAAGAGAAAATTACCTTCAAAAATTTCATTTATAAATACTGGTGCAAATTTCATGAGTTAATAAGAACAAATAGACTCACACATCATTATGTTAAAAAATGACTATACCACAAGCAAATGAGGCTCTATTCCAGAAATATACATTCAATATTAGGAGAATTATTAATATAATTGAGCAAAGTAATACTTAAAAAGAGATGATAAATCATATAAACAGCCCCATAAATGTTAAAAATGTCCAAAAAGCATTTGGTAAACATATGTCCCTAATTTTAACTCTTGTTTAGTAGGAGTAGATAGATATTGCTGAACATGATTTTATGCATGTGTGTGTATATATATATATGTTGTATGCATATTCTTTAACACTTTTCTAGAAGTACAAATCAATACAAATTTTGAGAATTGAAGTTATAAAAAGAGGCTGATCTATCAATTAAAATTGCAGATGATAAGACTGATCCCCTAGAATAAAAAAGAATAAGTCCACTGAAAAAAACTGCTATAAATAACAAAAATATACTAAGGTGACCACTAATACATGTTTTTTAAATGTATAGCTTTTCTGTGCATAAATGTTAGCCTCTTTTAAAATACAGTGGAAGGAAACGTTTACAGTACCAGTAAAAGCACTCAACCAGCCGCAAGCTAGGCTGGCCGGAGTGGGCGCGAACAGAACAGCCCTCGTTAACGCCACTCACGCCCGGTCCCCCCGCACTCACACACCGAACAACACAGGGTGGGCAAACGCAGGCTTACAGGTGTGAGCACGCAAAACACGGGGTTTATTCTTGTAGCGTTACTTATTAATTACTGTATTGTTTTCCATATGAACAGCAGCAAACTTGCATTTGCCCCACCCTGTAGACATCTGTCCAGCGGTGGAACTGGCATGCAGGGCGATGGGGCAGGAAGGTACGCTCAGACAAAGGCAAGGCGCCCCTGCTCGCCATGAGGGTCTTAGTCATCACCGACATATGGCATTTCCCGTGCACCAGGCACTGCTCTGCACCCCTTGCATGTGGCCCAGCACAGGATCTGTCCCAGAGAATACGCCAGACTTGAGAAGACTGTGTATTCTATTGCCGTTGTGCAGAGCGGGGTGTGTGTGTGTGTGTGTGTGTGTGTGTGGTCTGTCCAGAAGGTATCCAGTCATATAATATGAAAAACAGAGACATTTACTGAAGAAGATACAAGAAACATTATATATGTTTCCAGCGTGGGAAAGACACCTCAGTCCCCTTCAAAGTAGGCACCTTGGGACCTCACACAGTTCTCCCAGTTGCCATCAGCTGCCCCCTCATATTTTCCTGAATCTCATCAAGGGTCTGAAATCTCTTTCCTTTCAAAGGTGATTTTAGTTTTGGGAAAAGTCAGAAGTCGCAGGACACCAAATCTGGGCTATAGGGGTGCTGAGCCACCTGGGTGATTTGATGTTTTGCCAAAAAACTCTGCACAGGACGTGATGCATGAGTGGGCATGTTGTTGTGATGAAGCTGCCAATCACTAGTTGCCCACAGCTGTGGCTTTCTGAATCATCCAAATCGTTTCTATGGAGGAATGTTCAAGTTCAGCGCAAAATGTGATGCAGATTTGTTGTTCTACTTGCTCAGTCATTTTGAATGTGATGGCCACACAGTACACAGCTCACTCAACGACATCTGCTGCTCCCACTGACTAGTACAGTGAAGTTGTCGTTGTTCACACATGTGCATTCCAGTCCACCCTCCTTGGCTGCCAGGTTACATCCATGTCATGCAAACTGTTCTCGTTACATTAATAATGGCTGGAGATACGTGTGTGTGTGTGTGTGTGTGTGTGTGTGTGTGTGTGTAGAGAGAGAGAGTCTGTCACATCCAATCAGTCTGTGTGTTGAACACATTTAAGGCCTCTGTTTCTTTATTGATCTTTCGTTTGGTGTCCTACCCATAATTCAACGTGGCTTATTGAAATCTACTATTATTATGTTTCCATTTCTCCCTTCACTTCTTTCAGTGTTTGCATCATATATTGGGGTACTCTGCGCTTAGGTGCACATATATTTATAATTGTTATATCTTCCTGGAGAATTGACCTTCTTATAATTCTGTAATATCCTCCTTTGTCTTTCACGGCAGTATCTGACCAATCATCTACTTTGCAATGTAAGTCAGGCCACCCTGCTCTCTTTGTGTCACCGTTGGTGTGGAATCTCTTTTCCCACCCTCCTTTGCAGCCTTATGTGTCCTTACAGCTAAGGCGAGCCTCTTGCGGACAGCACATGGTTGCATCTTTCACCATCCTTCACCTGAAATAACTCATTCACTCTCACAATAACCTTATGTGCTATTGCTGTCCCCATTTTCAGACGAAGAAGCCCAGGCATGGGAAGGTTAGGTAACTTCTTCTAGATCCAGAGAACTGGAATTTGAACTGGCAGTTGACTCGGATACAAAGAGCATCCATCCCACAATGTAGTTAAACTGAGATTTTGAATCTAGAGAGAAGGTGATGGCGGGGGAAGGAAAGGGGTGGTTCAAACATGATTTGGGACAACTCTTTAGCCCCTTGGGGAAAAAATAAAGCTAAACCCTACCACACTCCTTACACCACAGCAAATTCTAGGAAGATTAAAAGAAGAAAAAATTAAAATGAAAGAAAACCCTAACCATACTGTTGAAAAACAGGAGAAATATTTTTAGGATCCTGTAAGTAGGAAGTACTTGACTACAGAAAAATCTGAAATTTCTGTAAGCAAAAGATGCCATAAGTAACATTTAAAAAGAGACAAATGAGCCCTGGCTGGTGCGGCTCAGTGGGTTGAGTGCTGGCCTGTGAACCAAAGGGTCGCTGGTTCGATTCCCAGTCAGGCCACATGCCTGGGTTGCGGGCCAGGTTCCCTGTTGGGGGTGCGAGAGAGACAACTACACTTTGATGTTCTCTCCCTCACTTCCTCCCTCTCTTCCCCTTTCCCTAAAAATAAATAAAATCTTTCAAAAAGAGGCAAATGACATTTGCCTGTGTGATACATATGATAAAGAGCTGCCTTAATTTAGGGGAAAAAAAAAGCCTCTTAACAATCAGTAAGATAAATGAGAAAAGCTATACACAGAAAAATAAATGCAAAGGCCAATCAATCAGTAACATGAAAATAATATCTGCCCTTTGCGATAATTAAGAATTACACATTGAAACGTGATATCACTTTTCATCTCTCCTACCGGCACCATTCAAACATGCGGAACGTCGCACAGTGCTGTCGGGACGGACGGGCAACAGGCACTCTGATGCGTGGCTGGGCGGCGCTGATGGGTTCACCCTCTTGGGAATTGGGCAATACCTATCAGAATATTAGATACAACTAACCTTTGACCCCCGCACCCAGGATTTATTCTGCAGCTAACCTCACACACATGCGCAAAGATATGTAGTCAAAGGCGATCATTGCGGCTTTGTTTGTGCAGCAAAGATGTGGAAACAACCAAATCCTCCATCGAAGGGTCAGCTCACGCGCATCAGGGCGCCCCCTCCGCTGCGACGCCGCTCGCCACTCCATGAGTGACCTGTGTTGCTCCGCACGGGCGTGTGCTGTGTATCACCTGACAAAACAGAGACCGAGTGCCGGAGAGGTGTTCCTGGTTGGGTTTAAAATAAAAACGCAGGCACAGATGTATATATTGGCCGGTATTTGTGGGAAAGTGTTTGAAGAAAACCTAAACGGGAAGCCTGGCAGCGAGCACGCTTGGGAGCGGCGCGGAAGGCCGGGAGAGCAGGCGGACTTTTCGTTGCCGGCTATTTTGAGTGGTTTGATTTTTTTCCCCACAAGCATGTTATTTTCGGAATTTAAAAAGAACATTTAAGAAGAGCCCAGTTACAAGGGAGAAGACTATTTAAAATGCCTCACTGTGAACTTTCTTCTTGAATTCTTCGCTCAGTGGTTCCCCGGTTCTCCCGGTGCAAGTTCACATCCGGAAGGGCCCCGGAGGCCGTGACCCGTCTCCGCTTGGTCCGTGAGAAAAACGAGACCAGGCTCCTCCTACGCTGCTGCTCTCAGGAGAGGGACTGGCGACCCCTTTGTACATGTGATCAGAGCGTCCTCCTTGGACTTGGCCTTTTCCCAGCACGTAGTCCAGCGAGTCTTATTCCACGTGCATCCACATGGGGAACTGTTAAAATGCAGATTCCCGGGCTCCTTCCCGAAGAGTCTGATTTAGTGGGCTGGGGCAGGGCCCTTAGACCTGCACTTTAGCGGTGTCCCCACCAAATGATTCTGAAGTCCTCCTTGAGTCTTCACCTGATGGTTCTGGCCCCCTTTGATCCCCCAAGCTCAATCCTGCTGGTGGAGTCCATGTTTCTAGGCTGAAGTCCCTCACCCCAGCAAGGGAAAGTGGGGTGCTCCAGTGGAAGTGGCAGAGAGTCCTAGAGGCTTGGACCCCCAAGGCAGTGCTCCCTCCCTGGACCCCTCCCCTCCGGCCTCTGCTCGGCTGAGATGAAGGATGGCCCCCTTTCAGTCACCCCAGGGCTGGGTGTGCAGGTGGGGGGAAGACTGGGTGTCATGGCTGCATCTGGGGTGCCCCTCACCCCACTAGAGCTCCCCTGAAGCCTTGGAGGAAGATGCTGACCAGCACGCTGGGCCCGCACAGGGCCTGGCCTCTCGGGCGGGGGAGGAGCCTCGGGAGGCCCCGGAGGATTGGGATCCCTGCCCGCCTGCACTGACAGAGCTTTGTGTCCCTGTGCCACAGAGCCTCGGACCAGCCGCCTTGGTGGCCAGGAGTCGAGCAGGGCTGTGGCCGGGCCGCTCGGAAGCACCTGACAACAGATCGAGAGGAGGGACAGCCGGTGACAGCTCGTCTGCCTAAGCCCCAGACCTCACCTGCTGCCCAGGTAGGTGCTCTTGCCACGCAGCAGAGCTGAGCCCCTCACACCGGCTGCTTCCTCAAGCCTGGGGAACGGGGCCTGTGGCTCTGCGATCAGTGCCTGGGCGATGGCCCATGTGGAGCCCCTCAGATGGGGAGCAGCACAGGAAGGGCCAGTCCCATCTCTAAAGGACACTAGCCCAGATGACCCTGGTGCCCAAGGCCTAAGAAGGGGGCCAAAGGCTCCGGTTAGGAGGCTCCGTCCTCCACGGAAACGCCCCATGGCTGCGCTGCTCTCTGGGTCCCCTGAAGGCCCTTGCCCAGCCGGCACTGGTCTGGGACAGGTCCAGAACCCAGCCAGTCGTGGCTGTTCCAAGGGTGTCCCGCCTCTCGACACTCTTTCCTTTGGAAAGGGTTATGACAAATGATATCTTTGTGGATGGTTAGAGCTGGGAGGGATCTCAGCAATGCCGTGCAACCTCGGTCTCGTCTCACCTCTCCAGCATTACTTATATCCATAGTGTCATTTAAAGTGTTGTGAGCGAACAGCTCAGAGGAGTCAGCTGTAGTCTCAGCAGGACAGCACAGGAAGCCCTGGGTCTCAGGCAGGCCTTCCGGGGCCAGCTGCTTCCTGCCCGTCCAGGAGGCCGACAGCCTCTGCCCCGCCACCCCACCCCACCCCCGCTCCCACTCTGCCCCCGCAGCCTCTGCTAGTGAGGAAAAGCAATAACTGTGATACGATTTCTTTATCTGAGATTGTCTCTAAAATCTCTTTTCCGTGAAAGAAGTTATCCCCTGTGGGCTGTTGGCCAAGAACATTGCAAGTGGCGTTATTACCAATAAAAGTAATCTCAGATATGGCTCTTTTCTGTGCAGATCACAGTACTCGATGTGCGCATCTCCCGTATAATTTGTTGGCCCAGCCTGGCGAGAGCTCTCTGGGGCCAGGAGCCTTAGCTGCAGCGGGCGTGTCACTTCCGCCCCTCTGGCCAAGCCTCCCGCCCAGCCCCGTGCTGAGCCCTGGTCCCTCCAGCCTAGCTTACCGTGGGAGACAGCACCGAATAGTGGTAAAGAACTCAGGCTAGGATGCCGGATGGGTTCGATTCCCAGTTCTGCCACCTACCAGCCTTGTCATCTCTACTTAGGTCAGTCTTTTCATCTGTAAAATGGGGATAACCACCGTGCCCTCAGGCACCGTGAAGTTACTACCTGTAAAGTGCTTGAAACCGCATCTAGCACTGACTGAGTACTTAACATGCTAGTTCTGTGTTTATAAAGCCTCTTCTCCCCTGGTGCCCAGGTAGCCTCCCTAAAGCACAGTGCGGTCAGGTCCCTTGCTCTAAAACCATCTGTGGCTCCCTACTGCATACTGAGTGACTCGACTCTAACCTGCCCTTTAGGGGTCTCAAAGAGAGAAACCTTCATTTTCCTGGGGAGTAATAATGGGGAATAATTAACATTTGCTGAGAGACCTTCCATTCTCAGGGTGGGAGAACTGAGACCCCGAGGAACACAGGAACGGAAGTACAGCCACCTGCAGCCCCACGGCTGGGAGCTCGGTCCAGGCTCTTCTGCCCCCCCCAGCTGTGGCCCACCTGTGACAGCCCTGGAGGCCAGGTGCTGCGTCTGCCCTCCAAACCAGGGGTGGTTTGGTTGCCCTTGCATCTGCTGGGGCTTCAGCTGCAGGGAGCCCTGTTTTGGACGCCAGCCCTCAGGGTTCACATCCGAGCGAGGAAGGATGCCTGGGCCCAGGCCAGAACAGGCAGTGACCACAGTTGTAACTTGCACTCCCCGACGAGTTCAGACCAGGTGGCAGATGAGACATCATCGTCCTCACTTATCCCTTGTGGGCGAGTGTCAATTATTTGGCCTAGGCGGTGGCTCATAGCTCAGGTGGGAAGGCCGAGGCCCGCAGAGACCCTGGTGATCTTGGATGGAGGGGCCTTGGGCAGAGAACACAGCAAGCCTCGCGCCCTTCGTCTCAGCTGCTTCTCCGGCAGAAGGGAGGCCATGTGCCCTGGAGGAAGGAGCTCTGGGTGGGGGTGGGAAGGCCTGTGTCCAACACAGGACTCCTCACCTGGCGGAGAGAACAGGGCCATGTCAGTTAGTTCCTCCAAGTCTCTGTTTTTCCATCTGTAAAATGGGAGGGTAGCCCCCACGTTTGTGGGAATGAAATGAATGCTGAGAGCGCTTGTATAGGGCCCCCGTGGGGTGGGCCCTCAGTGACTCGCAGATATTTAGATCGGTCCATCAGAGTGGGTCCTCCAGGCTTCCGAGTGGGGCTGGCAGCCCCTTGCTTTCCTTAGCTGAAATTTTCCTTGCCTGGCTTTTACTCCAAGATGAAGGAAAGTGCTGGTGTTTTGGCAGAAGAGGGGCAGAGGAGCACTCCAGATCTTCCCAGACTCCTGGCAAACACGAGAGGCGCAGCAGGGGCGAAGCGGAGTTCTGTCTGATTTTCTCAGAGATTTTTCCACTCGGGTGATGCCAAGCTCAGGAAACCAAAAGCAAAGTGACAGACCCTGCTGGTTCAGGCAGGGTGGTATGTTTCTCTTGATTCATTCAACAAATGAGGGAATTTGTTGGGGTTCCAGGCACTGTGCTGGGCACGGGCACATTCAGCAGCAAGCGAAGCAGACAGGGGCCCTGTCTCGTGGGGCCTGCATTCTAATGAGGGTGGAGGCAGAGGCGATGATCAGCAGCATCAACTACGGGTGAAATGTGTTAGCAGGCAGCACATGCGCTGGAACTGAAGGCAGGGGTTTCCGGAGCGCCAGGGGAGCTGTCTTAGTAAACAGCGTCATCGGCCCAGGGCTCACGGGAAGGTAACATTTGACAAGCCAGTCACCTGCTCCCCTGAGGGACCCTGCAAAGCCCATAGGCTCCCAGTCAGGGCCAGGTGCCTTTTATGAGATCCCAGGAAAGGGGCGAAACCTGGAAGCCTTTCTAGTCCCAGCTCAGATGTCGTGCCCTTCCTCCAAAACCCTACAGATTAAGCGCACATCATTCAGCCCGAGATTCAGGACCCCGTGGGCTGGCCCCCATCTGCCTATGGCCCCACCAGGCCCTTCTCACCCCACCTCTGCAGCCAAGCCAGTCAACCCACCATTTCTGGATTATTCCTCCCTGTGCTTCCCTCCTCCACTCACGGTCCCCTTTGCTTGCTCCCACTGGTTTCTGTCGGCCCACAAATGACCACCTGCACCTCTCTGAAGTCTCCCCTGGCCCCTGGGGCCGTGGTCTCTGAGCCCTGTCACCGTGGTCCGTACCTTTCTCACTGCATGGCCCTTACCATACCTTGGGCGGGGATGTGGGTTTCACCGATCTCTCCACTGGGCCGGAAGTGCCCTGGGCGGGGCCTGGAGGTCTGCCACCCCAGCAGGTGGCGGGCTCAGCAAACACTGGCTGAACTGAGGGTGCCCGAGCTGAAAGGCCCCCAGCAACAGGGGGACGAGCCAGGGTTGGGGGAACCTCTGGCCCACTCAGACAAAGAGGCAGAAGTGGGAGGCCAGCAGGAAAGGGGGGAGGGAAGTAAAATGTAGGTGAGATTCGATGAAGGAGCTAGTTAAGGAAAGGGAAAGAGAAATCCCCACCAGATTTCCTCCCAAGAGGCAGGCTGTCAGAGACAGGAGGATGATGGGTTTCCTCCAAAATAGCTACTGCACCCCTCAACATCTCAGGCCAGTGCTGCCTTATGTCTAACTAGAATACCTCTTGCTGCAGCTGGAGCTCATTTCCTCTGGTTCCATCCTCTGAATTCAGGTCTTTATCTTTGAGTCCTCATTCAGCATGAATCAGAGTGACTTTCTGACCCTCGGAAACCCAAGGAGCAGGAGTGAGGTCATCGTGAGGCCAGCCCCTGTCCTGGGGACTTGTGCCTTAGTTGAGGTGCCCAGTGACCCCTAGAGCTACACAGAGACTGCCTGGGGGGCCAAAGTGTGAGGGCCACCACGGGTCACAGCGCTTGTGCCGGCCAGTTGCCCCTCAGCACATCTTCAGAGCTAAGCTTCATACCAGCAAAGCCACCGAGGGCCCCGCCACAGGAGCACTGCGATTCTGAGCCCCTCATGCTCCGGGCTCTCTGCCCCGTGGGCTCTGAGAAGCCCTGGAAGCCAGACTGGCAGCCTCTGCCATCTGGCTGCCACCAATCGCTGGAGCAGCTGAGCTCACAGAGAGGGCCCCCTCCCCCTCTCTCCAATTCCCCCACCTCCATGCTTGGCAGCCAGCAATTCCTGCCCTATTTAGACAGATGGGACCAGAGCCTGGTGTCCCTCCCTTCTCAGCTGGGGGACCCACGCTCCGGGAAAAGCCTTAACACTATCTGAGTCCACCTCCTCTTCCACTTTGGTGCATGCGCGGTCTCCCCCTGGAATGTCCTGCCCCTGGCCTCCACGTGGTGGCTCCTTCCTCACAGGGGAAGCCCCACCTGTGCTCAGTGCTGGGAACATGGTTGCTGGAAGCAGACTGCCTGGGCTCAAATCTCCTTCAGCCACGTAGTTCCCATCTTGGGGGTTTTGTGAGGATTAAAAGAGCTCACGCTTGCAGAGTGCCTAGCAGAAAGCCTTCAGTCAATGTGACTACTGCTGTCCATCCTTTCAGAGTTGCCTTGGCTAGCACCTCCTCCAGGTAGCCTTTCCAGATTGCCCAGGGCTCAGGCAAGCACTCCTTTGCTGTGCTCCCTGCACTCCCTCACGAGGCCTCTGGAGGGCACTGATGCAGGTCTGTCACTGTGTCTTTGGGGGCCCGTGCACCCACTAGAAACTTATACCTAGACCAGAAGTACTTTGAGTGCAGAAAACAGAGTCTGGCCCGTCGTTTTGCTGAATAAATGACTTCCTGAGTGGCATGTGGGCGGCTGGGAGAGACGGGCTGAGAGGATGGGGTTGGGCCTGCTGGGGAAGACTTTCCCAGGGCCTGCCCTGAAAGGCCAGGGTGCCCACACTGAGCAGTGTCAGCATCACCCAGGAACTCGTCAGAGGTGCAAGCTCTCAGGCTCCTCCCCAGACCCACTGCATCAGAGTCTCTGGGGTG